ACATCCGAGCGTCTGAGCGATAAGATTGTCGACCAAATTGTCGAAATACTCGTTGTCGATCCGTTTGAACATCATGTAGGTCTTATAACGCTAAAAAGTGCTTTTATTGGATTGAGCCAGATTTTTTGCAGATGTTCGACTTGGTCCAATCAATGTCCGAACAGCGAGTGATGGAATCAGAACAGTGTTCCCGTCTTCACGATAAAGTAAGAAATTCATCGAAATATTATGATCCTTGCGTTTGGCTCCCACAAAAGAGCCTATTTTTTCTGTTCAGGCAAAACTATCCCGCTCCCAAGAAACAGTCGAAGCTCGTCTTCGCCTTGCAGTTGCGGCTCTTTCAGAGTTAGGTGGTGGATCCGTCGACATGGATCGTGTGATGTCCTTGTCTAGAGCCCAAATTGATAAGCAGGTTTGCAGTCATCAAAATTTACCAATAGATCTGTTTCAATTTCAACTTCAGGTAGCCGCATCGGTATCGCTGATGAGGGTTCGTGCTTCGATTGACGAAAATTTGGCCGGAGATCAGACTCACCTGACGCAACTCGTTCAAATGGTGAGCTCATTAAAATTGTTAAGGGCTCTACTTAAATATGACGCTTTTAAGATCGTTTGCCAATTGGAGTCGTCTCGAACTGCTCATAAAGTACTCGAGAAAATCTGTGCGGAATCACCTTCAAGCACCAAAATCATGAAGTTGTATTGGGAGGGTGCTCAGAATGCCGTAGAGGTCTGGTTTCCTAATTTTTAACATCTTTTCCTTAATCTGGAAGCCGCTGTTCAGGCTCTTGTGTCTGATCACCTGGACATTACTCCACTGGCTGTAAAAGAGCCGATCGATTCAAAGAAACCGCTATTCCGGTTCGATGCCACCGCTTTTGCCAGCGGAACATCAACTACTGACCCGAGCTTGCAGGTATTTTGGTCGTCACCATTTCAAGTTCTTTTTAAGCTGTCCGTCCAGCCTTATGCTTGCTTGATACAGCTTTTAAGGCCTATTGAACATAGAATGTGTTGCAGAGTCCACTAGTTGTCTGTCGCCCATCTGCGTTTAACATCGTACCGATGTTTCCTTGGCTGCGTAAGCTGATGGACTCTATCGAGAAGGAAACCGCTGAATCTCCTTGCCAGCTCAGGTACGCGAAATATTAGCACTATGCTAATCTTACTGGCTTTCGAGACAAAGAGCTGACATTGAATCTAAATCCTAGCTGAGCTAGCACCTTTCTTCATTGAAAATCCATTTCTTAGTTTGATTCCTAGTTTCCGTTTTCTCAAAATGGCATCTGTACTTGACTTATATTCAGGCGTTTTGTGGCCCACTCCTTCGTTTATTGAGTTTCTTTTGTAGTCCGAAGGGTGAAGGCATGGCTTGCAGATGATTGTAAATGCAACTGAGGAGACTGCATACACGGCCTAGAACCAGTATTCACTCTCTAGTAAGTTGAGCTAATGTGGTCAAAGTAGGTCTACATCTCAGGAAAATAGCAAAGAGTTCTTTCAGAAAGTTCTACCGTCGTGTGAACGCGTATTGGAACTCTGCCAAGAAGTGCATGGCCTGATTGTATCTATGGATTTGTATGCAGATAGATTTGCTGCCCTCTGGTTGCTCGTGCTTACCGATTACAATAAGAACGTCACGGATATGTATGAGAGGGTTGGTTTCTTTTTGTGAGGGTTGGTTTTCTTTTTCTTAGGGTTGATTATTGTTTTATTTTGCTTTTATCAAGTAAATAGCCCTAACTTATTCTCCAGACTACGAAGTCCCTAAGCGAAATCGATGGAGTTGCCTCGAGACGAAAAATTAGTGCTGCATGGGCTGCTGATGAGGATATTTCGAGGTAGTCATTTATTCTTTCTACCTGCTTTTTGCTTCGCGCGCTATCATCGCGCTAATTCACACGGCAGATTAGGCGAAACTCGATGGACCATGAATATCAGCTAATGAAGAATAATCCATTTTTAGATTCTTCATTAAACTATTGACTGTGTTAGACCCTCCACAGTTTCACTGAAGCTCATCGAGAATACGCGTGATAACGTCTGAGCTGAACTGGTATATTGGTCACACAACTCTGTAAACATCCAAGCATTTTTCTTGAATTAAGATAATTTAGCGGTGAATAGGATTGCTGTCAGTCTCAAAATCAAAACGAAATATGCCTATTTACATAAGTGAGGAGCTAATGCTTATCATTCATTTACATTCATCATTATTTAGAACCACGAAAGGATTAGCGGTTTAATGAGTTTGGGTTTTCTTAATAGTGCAGAAATGAAACTTATCATTTGCTGAAGACTTGTTTAGGTTTATGCAGTCGAATTCTATTAAGTAAGCTGGTTATATCAAAACAATGTGCACGTACTACAATTTGTAAATAGGAACGCTCTAGTGTCAACGCTGCGTAACGGAATTGACGACTTCAGCGTTCTGGCGCGCCTTATCGGCCCTTATCAATCGTTATCAGTTTCTGGCACCCACCAACAATGTCCCCGTCCCACCCCACATAACACTTGTAAGTATGGTTGCTCTGGTGTCAACGCGAGCCAGGCAACGGAATCGACGACTTCAGCGTTCTGGCGCGCCTTATCGGCCCTTATCAATCGTTATCAGTTTCTGGCACCCACCAACAATGTCCCCGTCCCACCCCACATAACACTTGTAAGTATGGTTGCTCTGGTGTCAACTTCAGTATAAGTGCAGTCCAACCCCTCACATTCAGACGCCGAGCCAGGCAACGGAATCGACGACTTCAGCGTTCTGGCGCGCCTTATCGGCCCTTATCAATCGTTATCAGTTTCTGGCACCCACCAACAATGTCCCCGTCCCACCCCACATAACACTTGTAAGTATGGTTGCTCTGGTGTCAACGCGAGCCAGGCAACGGAATCGACGATTCACGAGTCTGGCACACCTTTATCGACAGCTATATCAAGTTAGCTATTCTGACTTGATTCATAGTACCACCCAATAGTTTCGAGACCACCAACATAACACTGTAAGTAATAGATCGGCTCTTAGCCCCAATATGAACACACAACGAAAATAGGCGATATTCTTTATCATAGCACCCTCTTATCAGCTTTTGCTTTATTATCAGCCGTTGTCGTTTCTATGCATGTACGAACTTTGTCCTAATCGCCACCCCCTGTAAAAATTTGTAGAATGGGCTAATCAATGCTGTGACCGCGGAACTAAATATACGTAATTTCCGGTCAAATTCGACACACACACACACCCACGGCCAACCACAGTACCAGCTAAAGCCGCTTGAATATATGTAGGCTTGTTCAATAAATGCTCGAGTATTCATAGCCCTGTCAGCTATCCATTCCTCTGTTGTGTTTGGTAGAGTGAGGGTAAAATAATCTGTAGCCTCTAGCTAGGTTGCGTTTCCAGAATATTCCCGGCCCTTACTGAAACTTTATACTCAAGAAATGCTATTGCCACCTTCTATCGTTTAGGCTACTCATGAGCCTTCCCAATTGGTTGATGGCAGCCACAGAAGCAACTCCAAGTACTCCGAGTGTCCCGAACTTCGAAAGCGAAAAGGTACCTCTGTTTGCTCTTTTAATTCTATTTGCTCTTTCGTTCGATATTGCTATGTGACCTTTTATTAGCTAGTGGAGCTCATCTGTCTATAAGATCACGTTATTTGTCTTTCAGGATATTCTTCAAAGAAATGAACGAGAGTCCGAAATATTGATTGGAAATCTCGCCACTCAGAAGAAGATTGAGCGTGCCGAGTTGTTGACTGATATGTCTGATGTGAGAGCACTTGCAGCATTGCACGAAAGCTTGCGGTGGTTTGCTTGCGAGGTGAGTTGGACGAATATGTTTAGCCATGCCATCCCCAGAATTTTTGGATTCTCAGGTACGCCGACTGATCAACTCGCTTCCTCAACATGTAAAGACAAATCTGCGTGGATGCATGGTTCAGGTCCGATACAAGGATGGTCAAATAACCGACAATGTGAGTACAAGGGCTTGGATAACTAAACATCTATGAATTTCGAAGTTGGTTCAGTTTCATCAAGCGGTGTGAGAGCCAAAATTTGTACTGCCTCTTTTTTGAATGAGGGTGTTGCGTAGCGCACCGCTACGCCTGACCCTCTTCTAACGTGAGGATTTACTTATTTCAGGAACCAGTACTGGATGCAATGGAGGACTGTATATGTCGTCTGGATTCTATCTCAGACACTTGTTTATTG